TAAATGTCACAATGTATTCCCAGTTCAATAATAAAAAAGGGTTGAAATATGTGTGTGTACACGTGCACATGTCCTTACTTACATACAGCTCAAATTAATCTAATAGACACCTAGTTAAAATCTTTTTGACTCATTTTTAGTTATTAAAAGTTTAGTCACAGAGAGATAGGTCATATCTTTCAAAATAGACATATAGTAAATTAAGAGAATTTCTGAACATATTCAGGTATGGAACTCCTGAAAAGAAAGAGAAGTAAAATAAGGTGAAGAAGTTTTGTATGGCCTCATTCTCCCAGCTGATGTTATAACCTCACTTCTGTTCCCTTGAAGCCAATGCTGCAAGTGAAACTCTGACACATATTTACAGAAAGAATTCAAATATCCTTCAACCTAAATTAGATTTTCTAAGACCTCAGTATAAGTCCCAGAGGACATGATGATACAGAAAGTCATGGGGTGGATATGTCAGATTTCTCTCACTGACTTTATTGTAATAATAGATAATTTTGTGGACAGGATGGACTCTAAAAGATAGATACAGTACAGACTCCCCCTATAAGCTCCCAAACATCTAATTCCCTACATTCTTTACTAGCATGGTTGACTGACAACTCAGACTTCACATCTGAAAACTGAATTTGTAATCTTTTTCTAAAAGGTCACTTATCCTTCAGTGACTCACACCTCAATAAACGCACCCCTGGGGTACAATTATGCTCATGTCAATGGTATGGCAGTCATCTCTGACACCTTTCTCTACCTCTAGTCCATCACTCCTCTTTAGTGATTATAGCTTCTTTAAGTAAGGTAGATTCATCCACTCCTCCACATTGCCAGCACCAGGGCCACGCTCCCATTGTCCCTCATTTGGACTGTTACAATAACCTAAAGGTTTCTTCATGTTCAGTTTGGTGACTTTTCATTCTCCCAAAATCACCATATTATTTTGGTCATTGATGATTTTGTTGTTATTTTAATCTAGACTTGAGAATTGATAGTGTCAGTCCTATACTTAAAATCTTTAACACACATTGCATTGATCTTGGATTACTAAATGGCTCACATGGCCCTACCTATCTGTGTCTTGCCTACATTTGCAGCCCAGTCTAATTCTTACTCCCTTCTTGTTAAAGTTCTTCCATACCTTAGATCCAATACAATATCCCAATGGCCTCAGTGTTTCATTCAGGCAGGCTGTCTTAGCTGAGGTGCTCTTTATCCCACTCTTTGCCTGATTATCTGGTTAATCCCTATTCATGTTTCTTTCATCCTATTATTAAAGTTGAGATCATTTCTGTTTATATCCAGATTATACCTTATTTTGTATCCATAGTTACATCTAAATTTTAATGCCATGTTTTATGGCACTTGCTTGTTTAAGATTTACTGTGAACACTATGAGGACATGGAATAGAGTCATGTCATAAGCTAAGTTTTAAAGTACGGCAGGGACCAAACTCAAGAATTGGTTTTTTTTGTGTGTGTGTTTTGTGTCAAGCTGTTTGCATTTTATCTTGGGGGTAGTGGAGAACTACTGGAAATTTTTAAGTAGGGAAGTAACATATTCATATTTGGGTTTAGCAAAGTCTTAACAATTTCACATTGGAATAGGGATCAGAAAAGGTCTAAAGATAGAAGCAAGTAAGATGTTATTTAAATGACTTATATGAAAACACTGATGGGGTAAATGTTAGAACAGAAAACAAATTTAACATATTAGAATAAAGTGTCAATCAATGGTTGGGTTTCCTGGGAAGCTGATTAGCTGACTATGATGTAGAGATTAGTGCATTATGTTTCTTACATGATCAACACCTGAGAACAAGAAAGGAAAGAGGTTTGAATATAGAACTCAAACTCTCCTACAGACACAATTAAGCCCTCAACAGATCCTAGAATGAGCAGTAGAGCTGAAATTACCCCTGAGATTTAACCCCTATCTGGGACTGTGAGGCTGGACCTTTAAATCCCATATTGACCAGTCAGTGGATATAGGATCCTGCCAGGAATGGAGAATGTCTTGGGTAGATGCCTGTTTTCAGATATCCACAGAGGAGTTTTGCCATAGTTCTCTTAGCACTAAGAAGGGACATATGGGTGGAGCATCACATCGTCTACTACAGGCTTCTATTAGTTGAAGAAAAACAAAAAGGAATGAGACTGATAAACAGAAAGAAGCTTGAGCAAAAGATAACACATTCAGATCTGTTAACCTGATAGGAAGTAGTAGATGTGGTGGCCATGGATGACTCCAGAGAGATATATGTAGATGAGAAGAGTATCAAGTTTTATATACAGAACCCTGGAAGGAATAAGCAAACACAGCAAATATAGTTAAGAGTACTGACAGAAAGAAGAGTCTGAGAATAAGCAGATAAAGAAGTAATAAGCATGATAATATAACAGAAGCAAATGAGACAAATATCAACAGAAGACCTTTCCTGGGAGCAAATGCTTTGCACACAGTCCATAAATTTCATCTTTAAAGCAGCCCTTTGAGATTTGTATTATTACTATTCTGATTTTGTGGAATAGCCAATTTTAAAAGGTTCAAAAACACACTCAAGATGGATGCCTAAGGCATTAAGCCAAGATTGAATCTCTCCCCAGAGCACATGTCCTTTACTGACTCATAAAAAGACAGCAATCGGTTGTCACTTCTACAGAGACGTCCGGAAAGCAAAACATGTATTTGTAGACAGCAGCTAAGACTGCCAGGAGGTCTGCAATACTTCTACCATAATTTTAGTGATGGAAGACAGAAACATAGTAAAGATACATAGCAGGTCATACAGATATGAAATTTTTAAAAACAGAAGAAAATTGAGTTTTCTCAATTTTCTAAAGGACCACTCAGAAAGAGGGAGATGTAATCAGTGCTATGAAGTAAGGGGATAATTGATGCAGTAAGGGTACCAGGAGTGGTAGATGAGGATAAGAGTCACAGAAAAGTTGCAGATGAAAGCAATGTCTCTCTCTAAATGCAAAGGAGGAAAATTAAAGTTAGTATTAAACAACTGACTCTGGCTGTGAGGGGCAGAAAACTAATCTCCTACATTATTTATGTTCCTCATTGTTCTTACATTCAGGATGTACCTCCATATTCTAAGTAAACATATGCTCTTACTTTTGTTTACTTGAAGACCAGATGTTCTTGCTGTTAGAAAATCAAATAATCGGAAAGGAACAACAAACTAGAAACTTCCAGGACAAAAATGAATGAAGACAAGACTAAACCTGAGATAGAGAAAAGAAGAGGAAGTAGAATGAGGAAGAGGAAATGGAGGTTATAAGTCAGAGTGAGTTGGGAAATCTTGACAGGGACAGGGTGGGAATGGTTAAACCTGTGCTTCAGAACCCAGAACAATGGGCTGAGAAAACTCCTCATCCTGAGCTGGTGTTAGGAAACTGTCAACTATACAGAAGTCATCTGCTTCCTCAATGATTCACATTCCTTTCCAAGGGAGTTCTCAAACCATATATCTTGAAAACTCAATTGGTCTTCATGTTTTTAATTCAGTCAATGGACTCTAAATCTGGATTGTTTGGACCACCCATGAACTCTTTTGTCTGTAGCTGACCTTTTGCAAACTGCAATGTCTCCCTGGCAAAGACTGCTTGGTAAGCTTACTTTTCAGAAACTTTCATTCTTAAAATGGATTCCTGTCAGATGTAGAAGAGAAAGGGGAAAGGTCCATGCTTCCCACATTAGTTCCCCCAGTGTCTGGGCAAGGGCAGAGACAAGGTATTCAAGCATGACAAAGTCACTCTTGACTTTTGAAACAATCTCAGTTGAATTTTGTTTGCTTTGAAAGCTTTTTGAAAAACTGTGAACAAGGTAGGGCTACATTCAGATTCAGTCCTATTCATGTAAAAGTTAAAAAATAAAACACCTCTCCTTCCTTTTTTCAAAAAATCAGATTAAACACGGGAGAAACACGGTGAGTAAGAGGTACAGATTTGTCCCTGGCTCAGTTATCACATAGCTAGCCTCAACTAAGCCACTCTAGACCTCACATTTTCATCTGGCAAATAAAAGACTTAAGCCTGGTGAGTCTGATGATAATTTCCAACTGTAAAATGTTTTCTATTATCTATCTGAATTTTACATAATGTCATAAGTAATTCAAAAGGCCATTTTTATAATGTTCCAAAAATGAAATATGCACTTTTGGCTTTGATATTTTTCAAGCTATAATTGAAGAAAAAGCTAATGAAAGTTTATAAACTAACCATCTTTCAACACAGGGAGAGGCATTACTAACCTGTTAATTGAATAATTACTGGTAAATTCAAATCAGTTATATGGACTGCTTTTCCTGTTCTTCCTTTCTGGATCTGAAGAATAAACTGAGAAATTTGAGTCTCTTACTTAAGACTCCTCCTAAGTACCAATAGTTTTATTAGAAGTTTGGAAGTTAATACCTAAACATTTCTCTGTATCTGTAAGTCTTTACTAAAACCAGAGTTGATTAACCAAATTAAGGAAAGATACCTTACACAGGAAGAAAGTAAAAGAATGCCTCAAGTCAAAATGTTTTTCTACTATTCTCTAAAGAACTGACAGGGTTTTGACATTATCTTCAGTTGTGGCTTTACACATGTACTTTCATATCAGACTGACTTTTAGATGGGAACTTTTCAGCTCTGTAATTAGCAATCCACAATGGAAGCTTTGACACATAATTACAGCACTGCTAAAACAATAATAATATGAGAAATACTAAGGTTGAATGCAGTATTTCTTGACACACCTCTGGCTACCTTCTTATTGGCTGGGAAAGAATTATATATGACTAGTGAATAACCCATACAGAAATGAATGTGTGCACAAAGACAGTATGCTTTTACAACAGGTACTTCTAGTTAGGCCAAGTTCAGTCACTGATGCTGATTTGGACTAATCCACTATGGGCAGCAGCAGTGAAGAACATCACCAGAGACTACTGTAGACTCAAAGAGTCCTCCACCTTCTGCGTCTTGAGCATCTGCTGCCACTCCAGTTTGGACCAGTCTTCAGAGTAAAGGCAATGGCATTTTATCCAGTGCAAATTGCTGGACTGGTTCTTGGGTTCTCCGGCGTGGTTGGGACCCTTGCCACAACTCTTCTGCCTCAATGGAGAGTATCAGCTTTTATTGGCAGCAACATTATTGTCTTCGAGAGACTCTGGGAAGGGCTCTGGATGAACTGCATCCGACAAGCGAGGGTCAAGCTGCAGTGCAAGTTCTATGACTCCTTGTTGGCTCTCCCTCCTGTCCTGGAAGCAGCAAGGGCACTCATGTGTGTGGCCGTGGCTCTCTCCTTGATCGCTCTGCTTATTGGGATCTGTGGCATGAGGCAAATCCAGTGCACAGGCACCAATGAGAGGACCAAAGCATACCTTCTGGGAACCTCAGGAGTCCTCTTTATCCTGACAGGCTTCTTCGTTCTGATTCCAGTGTGCTGGACGGCCAGTATCATCATCAGGGATTTCTACAACCCAGCCATCCATATAGGTCAGAAACGAGAGTTGGGAGCAGCACTTTTTCTTGGCTGGGCAAGCACTGCTGTTCTCTTCATTGGAGGGGGCCTACTCTGTGGATACTGCTGCTGCAACAGAAAGAAGCAATGGCACAGATACCCAGTCCCTGCTTACCGTGTGCCACACACAGATAAGAAAAGAAACGTGACAGTGCTTAGTAAGACCTCCACCACTTATGTCTAGTACTTGCTGTCAGCGCCAACGATGGATTATGCTCAATGTATTTTATAAAATCCTGCCAGAAACTGTAAGTATGTCAGGCAGGAGAACTTGCTGTATGACTATGCTTAAACCGAGATGAAATTTTTAACTTTTCACCAGAGGCAGGAATGTAAATCACCTACTTGGACAGTCTCACTTCCTGTGTATTGAATGCTTTTACTATTGTTGGACTCCATCCCCATTCCTATCTGTGTGGTTAAAAATGAGATATATTCTCAATCAGCAATAGATATACAATGATAGGCTACTGTTTTTTTTGAGTATCACATATTTTCTGATAAGAAATCTAAAATTTTTATTGACATCCCATAGCAATAAGACATCCACTTATTTAAAAACATAACCTATTATTTGTCCTCCAAATTATTTCTTATAAGCATAGTAGCATACAAATGGTGGTGTTTTGAAAGGAATAATCCCAGAAAATTGTGTATATCAAATAATGATTTTTGGTTGAATTGATCAAAATTTAAATGAAAATGCCTTTTTATGTCTTTAGGAAACTCACACTAAAAATTAGAAATTTTTAAGCTTAAGGGAACTCTGATTTCTCTTAGGACATGTAAGAAGCTGAATTTCAAAGTCTCAATTTATACAGCTAAAATTGTTTGGAGCTGTATATTCAAAGGAAATAATTTCTAAATGAAAACTACAGAAGTATCTAGCTTGATAAGGTGTATCAATAAAAAACTATTTACACAATACTGGTCTAGAGGCTCTGATCATGATTAGAGAACTTAGGTTTGAAGGGAATGGTTTCAGTTCCTTGTCTTATTCTTTAGACATCGTACAGGTCTAAACATGCAGAGCAAAATGGAAAGTCAAGATAATGATTCAGGGAATTAGTCAGGCTTAAATAAGTACCTCCTTTTTACTCTCTAATAAATAAATAGTGATGGTGGAAGCATTTTGTGTGGGTTGAATTATATGTATTATTTCTCAGTTCCTTATTTCCCATGTGTACATGCCAATATCAAGGTTAAAAGTGGTTTGTGAGCTGGGGGATGGGAATGGATAGAGAACATTTGTGAGTCAAGTTCACTCTATAGCTTGTTTCTGAATAGTCCCAATATTGTGAATTAATGCTAATGTATACAATTTTAGCTCTTTAAATACTATATTTATTTTGTAAAAAATAATTTGCAGTATATAATTGCAATGGAAAGATTATGTTTACTCACAAAATATTTATCGTATGTTCATACTATCATAATAAAATAATAAAAAATTTACATGCTGTTGATATACTTAATTGCAGGATCAAATTGAGAAGAATTTCTTTCCCTAAAAGATCACCTAGTAACTCTGAAATATTAAAGCTGCAGTAACTCAAAGCTAGATCTTGAGGTCAGGCCCTTATTCCATTCTACAAATCAACCAGCAAGAAAGACTTCAATATTACAAACACTTTGTAGTTTAAAATTGCATGAAAAACATTAGTAATATTTAAATGAAAGGGCCACATATATGTAAATATCTGCACATAACAGCAATAAAAATAAGTAAAATGGTGACTTGGATGGATTTTTCTTAAGATTATTTTCTTCAACAGAAAATCCTAATATTGGTTATCCTGAAAAAGAGTCATTTATCTTATACAGTTCAGTAAGTAAGCCATCAAGACAAGCAAGATATATGCTTAAAGGTTGCCATGGAATCATTTGTCTTACCTTCTGGCTCACCTAGAAGTAATTAGCCTTACAAGGATGGTTTCCTCATTCTAAATTGAATTATGTTATTCTGTTGGCCAGAGGATCAGAGAGTACAAAGGTGTAATCATGGGTGGAATCCTAAAATAACATTAGATACTGAAAATGGGGCAAAAACTCAGAAACTAACAGATACCATGCTTGCTATTTCATTAATCAAAGTGTATTGTATTCAACTTTTGAATAGTTATGTCTATATCCCCTACTGGAATGCAATATTTTATCTATTTCACTAAAAAGAAATTTTGGCAAATTTCAATGAACTTCAAAGTACATTGTGAACGTAAACCTCATATCACAAATCCAGGTGTGCAAGAAATATATCTTCACTTTCTGACATTTAACTACAATTTCAATTTGTTAGATGCAATCTCACATATTACCCATTCTTGCAATATTATGCAGTACTTAGCAGAATTCAGGTGAGTTCAAGAAATCAGTCCAAGCTCATCACCCAAGAACGTCTGTGAGAAGATGTCTGTTGCACTGCCCACTTGGTCTTTTTAGGCTTTTCTGCTCTGTAGATTTCATCATGCTTGTCCACCTTTCATGAGATCCTCTTGTTCTGGGATACTTGAATCAGTGGATTTCAACCCTGGATCCACAGTAGAACTGTGTAGAGAACTTTGAAGGACAACAATACAAACCGTTATGAGCTGAGTTGATATCTGCCACTGTTTCCAAGAATCATGGCTAAGAAATTGACCTGCTGATATGGTTCACAGCTGGTTATGAGCAACCAGTGGAAGAAATTACTTCCTCCCTCAAATGGTTGTGTTTTTGTGTTTGTTTGCTTTTGTATTTAATGTCACTTCCATAATCTTCCTCTTTTTTTCTACTTTCTATAATTTTGTACAGCTTCACAAGGTTTTTTTTTCTTTTTCCATTATTTTATCATTTTTACACTTATTACATGTGTATTTGTTGTTTGTGACACCTCCCTCCCAACACCTCCCCCCAGCACCCACTTCCAGGTAGAACCTGTTCCGCCCTCTTCTTCTCCAATTTTGTTGAAGAGAAAATATAAGAGATAATAAGAAAGACATACTGTTTTTGGTAGCTTGGGATAAAGATAGCTATACAGAGAGATTCCTAGTGTTTCTCCCATGCACTTGTGTATTGCAATCCACATTGGTTCATTTCTACCAGACCCCTTGGCTACAAAGGCTTTTAAAAACAAAAATACATAAGGACTGACATCTTCTAATCTATTTCTACCATTGATTTTGTTGAAATGCTTTCCAAAGTAAATTCTGAAATAAAGAAGAGAAAAGTAAATTCTGAAATAAAGAAAAGAGAAAGGAAGAAATTAAAAGGAAGGAAGCACAATAACTTATCATCACATAATATTATCTATTGCACATGATCAAAGATTATTTCAAAGAGTAACTCTCTTGCAGCTTACAAATTTAATTAAATGTACACAATCCTTTACATTTATAAAAACCCTTGAAATGCTTAAAACCATTTTGTTCAATTCTTTTGCTTTTCATAACCACCATATAACGTGGAAATATAGACTTCACTATCAACATACTTCAACTACTAGACTTCAAACACATAAAGTGACTCAAATAAAAAAGAAAATATTGATCTAAGTTGTGAATGATCTTTTTTATCTGTTTCTCTTAGATGACGACAGTATAGATAGATAAATGACAGATACCTAAATAGATGACTGATATAGATAGATAGACAGATAGATAGATAGAAGAATTTATGCTGGAGCATCCCTAACACATGTAGTCCTTACTGTTTGTGTTTGTTGCAAATGTAACTGAAGGAGTTTTTCCCAAGATTCATGTTCAGTAAGGTCTGTTTTTCAAATTATCATCTTTAATCATTCTGTTTTATTGTTTCAATATTTAAAAAAAATTTAATTATCATACTATTGTTGTACTGGGAGCACATTCTGACATTTACAAAAGTGCTTTCCATGTATGCTAATTAAATTCACCCCTCCATCATTCCCCTTTTCTCCCTCCCCAATTCTTAGAATAGTTCCAGAATTTTTCCCTTTTCATACATGAGCACATAATATTTCTGCCATATTCACCTTCGTATACCCTTTCCTCATATCCTTCCTTCTCCCACTGGTACCAACCCCCAGACAGGACCTGTTTTACCTTCCTATCCCTCATTTTTGAAAAAAGACTTTTTCATTAAAGTTCACTATTTTGAGTACTTGGGATGATTTTGAGTTTTTCAGCTTGGAATTGAGAGTGATAAGTGAAAATCATCCTGAAATAGGAGACCTCAGCAGAATCCCAGGTGAACAACTGAAGACTTTAAGTACAGGATCAATGACTTGACTTTATACAAGCCCCAAGAACTTAAATACACCCTGAGAAACTTAGGGGCCCTCACTAAATAACTTTGTCTTCCATAGGGGCTTAAAACAAAAATTAAGTCCAGTTTTTTAAAACATTTGATATTTGTATGACAAAACACCTACCCCGTAGGAGTTGCAACAGTTTGCTCAGAGAATGAATATTTAATGAATTAATGAAGTAGAAATTCAATAATAAGATCATAACATGAGAAACCCAGGGGAAATTAGAAGTTCTTAAGTGGATGTAAGTACTTTTGTGTTTTCAGTATTCTTGTAGCAAGATTATTTCTAAGAAAAATATTTGCTTAATGGGCAGATGCTACTCATTACGTAATTACTGCAGAAAAAAATGTGATGCAAAGGAAAGGTGTAGTCTGAATTCAGACTGTGATTTAGGATTTAGCAAAGGCCAGAATTTGCTGGTTGAAATGACTACTGAATGGCTAGGCATAGTAATTATAGATCCTGAAGATATGGAGGATAGTGGCTTGAGGTCAACCAGGGAAAAAATGTTAGGAAGAAATAAAAAAAGACATTAGCAAGACCATCATCAACCAATATGCTAGGTGTGGTAATTTGCTCCTGTTATCTCAGATTTGGGGAAAGCCATTGGCAGGAAAATCACAGTCTGAGGCTGCATGGGCAAAGATAACGAGAACCTATTTGGAAAATAAGTGCTGGAGGTGTGGCTCAAGTAGAAGAGAGCCTGCCTATCAAGCATGAGACTGAGTTCAAACCCCAATACCACCAAAAATAACTACTAAAATATTTACTCAGAAATAAATATAAAACGGATATGACTACACAAAAAGAACTCAAGGCAGAAGTTACAGCTGATACAGAGGGACACAAGCAAGCTGTGAAAGCAAGCAAACAAAAAAGAGAGAAGAGGCCATGAGGATTAGAAGAGAAAAACAGTGGGTAAAGTGGGAA